AATATGTTATATTTTTACTCTGTGTTGTGTATTATTCTATGTTAATATTTTTCTTTTACATTTTTAGAAATATTTAAGAAATCATTGAATACAAATTATTTGAGTTTGTTGATCTTTATTCTGATTTACTTTCTTACTGACATGGCTGTTTTTATCAACACAGCCAACACAGTTGGTGCTTTGTAACATCTAATTTTTACAAGGTGGGTTTTTGGACCAATGCTCAACCCCCAACCTGAAGGACCAGGACAGACACACATACACTACAGACAATTTAGCTTACCCAAATCACCTGTCTTTGTACTTGTGGGGGAAACCAGTGCACCCTGAGGTAACCCACGCTGCCAACAGAAGGAGAACATGCTAACTCCACACAGAAATTCCAACTGACCTAGCCAGGGCTCAATCCTGGGACTACCTTGCTGTGAGGCGACAGTGCAACCCACCGTGTCACCGCGACACCCTTTATTCTGGCATACACTCAAAAAAATACGCTTGCTGTTTGTTCAAACTGAGTGTAAAAAAAAGTGAGACAAAACAATTCTTTGTATTTTTTGGGGGGATCAACTTAAATTTGTAAAAACTGATAAGTTAGCTTAATTCCTTCATGTTATCCCAACTCAAATCAATTGTGTGGAACCATGCATTTTTTACAGTGTAGCTGTTCGTTTGTTTGTTTGTTTCAATAACCAATGTTAAATTAGTATAATGTTTTTATGTTCATATATTTTTTATTATATTTAAATAATTATTTGCTCATTTGCTTGCTAGTAAATGACAATTACAGGCCTCCTTTCTAATATACAAACACCAGTGCATTTTTCACAACAGTCATTGTAAAAAAAAGGTGAATCAAAATTGTATGGCAACTTGCCGCACAGCTTCTTTAAGTTGGCTCAAGTTTTAATCCAAGTACTACACTACTAAACTTAAAACTGCATTAAAGTCAACTAAAAAGCTCTGCAGCAAGTTGACAGAATTTTAAGTTGAGTCAACTTTTTATAAGTGAACAGTCAAAATATTTAGTTGCTTATAGTTATTCTCCTTCATCTATGATTTATTATTTTTCTATTTTATTATTATTTTTTATTATTTATGCATTTGAATCACAATATGAGACCTTGATCTTTCTTCTTAAGACTTTTAACCTTAAAAAGTGATTTTATATACATTTTTTATAGTTTAAAGTAAGTATTTTATGCTGCAAAAACCTTGTAATGAACAGCCAGGACATGTTCTGTTATTTTACAGATTCATTATTTTTTTTTACCATTTCTTATCCACTATATTATTTCAAGCGACTAAAATGTCAATAAAAGTAACTTTGTTAACTTCCAGAGTGGAATTTTCAAAAGTAGACAGAGCAGAGATCAACATCTCATAATGCAATTCACAACCATAAATAGACAAAAACACAAAATACGGACACTGTTAATTGACAGATAATTTTACAGTGTACTGTAAATACAGTAAAACCCCCCTCTCCTGCTACACACATCCCTGTTTGTCAGCACTATTATGCAAGCTCTGGCTGGCACCTCAGTGAAGGGTCAGCTGGGACGATCCAATCATAGCCTGCCTGCATCCTGCAGCACAGCTCCATCCAGACCACAGGAAAAGCCCTCTGGATCTCCATGTCACACCACTAAAACAGCATCCAGCAATCGGACACAGCCTCCCTGACACCTTCATGGCAGCAGAGGAACTGTGGGTCATCCTTTATAGCGCCCGTTTTAGCTGGTAGCACATCCTGACCCGTTCCGCTAGCATGGGCATCAGCAGACAGGCAACGGACTGGATGAACGTCACAAGTGTAACCTTTTACATTAAGCGGGTCAGGTCGAAGCTAATTTTGTGTAGTTTTGTGGAAGACATCACTCAACATGTGAGGAAGGATTGATTATGGAGCGACTTGTTTCTCAAGGTTTTATGGTTACCACTGCTTGTCGCCTGTCATCGGTGGTGGTTGTTTGCTCTTGGTGCAGGTGTTCTTCTCACACACATGTTGAATAAATCTATGGTTTTATTGTGTACTATATTGTGTGTACACACGAAAAATGCTCAGAATAATTAACCAAATTAGTTCTGTTCTGATGGAGCCATGTATATGAAGACTCCAAGACACCTTTATTCAAGTCAATATTTTAACAGCTCTCATATTTCAGCTGATATGTACCTTTAGGTTATCTGTTACAATAAAAATAAATATAAAAGATTGCAGAAAGATTGTTTTGCAATTTGATGCAGCCTATACATAATGTTATTATATCACTTTTTTGTAAATAATATTTGTAATACATATTGAGCCCCTCTGGAAGTTTGCAGAGGCCCCCTAGTGGACTTCTGTCCCCTGTTGAGAACAAATAGTGTAAAAGTCCAATAATATATTCACCTGTGAAGTGGACATTACTCAAATAAGAGCAGTGGTATAAAGTAACAAATTTCAAATACTCAAATGACTGTAATTAAGTAGTTTTTCTCAGATATTGTAATTTACTAAGTAGTCCAAAGTGTGTACTTTTATTTTTCCTCGAGTACATTATTAGTGTAGTATTGGTACTTTTACTCCACTACTTTCCTTCAACCTGCAGTCACTACTTTATTTTTCCTTGTCTATGGAGATTAGAAAAATCCGTCCTGTGATTTCTGTCCAATCAAATCGCGCATAGAAGGAAAATCGCATCATAATGAACAACCTCAAGACATGGACAGTGTTTATAATTGCAGCAAACTGTTTGGAAGCATTAAATGTGTTCAAAAAAATGTCCAAAATCTTTACACACGCATTGACCCAGAGACTGTTTAGATGCATGTTACAGATGAGAAGATGACAGACGAGTATGATGACATACATAATGATTTTTACAACAGATACTTTTACTATACTTGCACTACATTTTTAGGCAAGAAATAGTACCTTAACTTAAGAATGATTTTTCAGTACACTTTCCACCACTGGATGAGAGTGATGCTCTCAACTATGAAAAAAAAACAGATGCTTTAAAATGAGCACACACACACACACACACACACACACACACACACACACACACACACACACACACACACACACACACACACACACACACACAAAAATACACAGAACTGTGGTTGATCATTTTCAAATTTACATAATGTCAGGATAATGCAGTTTGTTTGTAGTGAAATATATGGATGTACATTTTAAAGTGTGACTTTACATTTTTAGTATTTGTTGACTGTATCAGTATCATTGTTGGTCCACTGTTAGGCATTATGTTAAGTTCATATAAACTGACCCTAATTGTAGTAGTTGCAGACTGTTGAGTAATGATGGAATTAGTAGATCTTTAGGCTAGGCTTAGGGAAAATCTAAATTTGGATTAGATTTCGTAGATCAAAAAAAGTTCTTGTAAAGTTTGTAATGGGGTTTGTAGGTCTCTTGGGGTTGGGGTCAGCATTAGTATAATATTAGATTGGGTTGGGTGGTTTTGGTTAGGTTAGTATTCTAGGTTAGGGTTGAAATTTTCTTGTAAAGTTATGTACAATTACCTGAATATATGATGGCATTAGAGTACGGTTAATAATTACAAGACTACTTTGCTGGTATTGGTATTTAATAGTCATGAAAGGGTTAAAAATAAGATCAGGTTAGAGTTAGAGTTTGTTTTGAGTTAGCAGAGTAAATTGGCATTTTTGTGTAAAGTTATTTATAGTCTGTATGTCTGATTAGATTTTAAAACTGATAGTGAAAGTACTTGTATAGTCTGGCTTAGGTTATGTGTATAGTTTAAAGATATGTACAATGCATGCATAGTTATTATAATTAGACTACACCGCTCCAGTATGTCAGTTATGTATAGGTTAAAAATAGCTCTTACATCTAGTGTTGTGTTTATATTTATGATTATGTTTATTTATGTAGCAGCGTGGTTCTGTTAGACGCTGCATTTTGTTCCACTGTATGTCCACACATGTAAAGGAATGACAATAAAGCTCAACTTGAATTGAGTTTAAAAAGGGTTAGGTTTAGCAGGGTTAGATGACGGATGAGTTTAGTTAGGGTAAGTAGAATAAGTAAAATTGTTTGCATGACTTATAGGTTATGTATATTTCTTGCCATGTCCATTCATCTTAGGTTTAATGCAAGATAGATATTATGATACAGTTATGTAATGTTGTAAGTACCAAAATACAGTAATGACAGTGCATAACATTCTATTTTGAGCTTTTCACATTCTTGGATTCTGAATTGTGCATTGTTATGGCAATACTATCAATTGCTATATAAATATAGTGGCCAAATGTATCAATAGCAGTCAAGTAGTACAAGTCACAGACCCTAGAACAATCCCAGTGTACAAGTCAGAATTACAAGATCTACAAGGAGGTGAATCCATCCTCAAGTTAATGAATAAAACAAGTATGGTACAAATGACATGGCATAATCAAATCTTCTATAGATTCTTAGAGGTTAGGAAGAATTTAAAACGTAAAGCAAATGTAAACAATGTACGTTTAAGGATCATCAAGTTAAAATGTATATAATAAGCAGACAGTCTACTAAAACTCCATGACTTCTAGTTGACAGGTGTTGCAAACCTATAGTCCACAGAATGACAAGCAGAATTATAATAAGAATCAATAATTGACACATTTAAATAAATGTTTATGATAGTTTATGAAAATGTATTTAGAAAAGACATATTTATATTTTAAGATTAAAACACCTTTCCAGTTTTAATTAAAAGTGTTCACACAAGTGTTTACATAATGTGCAGGCTCAAATAAGCATGGAGGTTGTGTATATCCTTGACCAATACAGCATCCCCTCAGCTCATCAAAACATCTGAATAACCTTCTTTGGCCATAATAAATAACAGAAGAACAGCTGAAAGTAAAACTTATGACATTAAAACCACCACTACTGAAGCACTTAACTGTCCTCCACATGTCACAACAGGCTTTCTAACCAGTCAAATGTTTGAAAGAACTGTCAAAGCAAAAAACATTCGCCTTACCTTGTTTGGCAGCAAAGCGATGGTAAATCCCTAAAAGTCTCAGAGCAGGGACATCCCAGTGTCCCAGCGACTTTATATCTGTGTGTGTTTTTGTGTTGGTTTGTCAGGCAGTAAGTGTCCGATTCAGAGAGCAACTGACCATACATGTGCTGTCGTCCAACTGAATGCGCGTCTGAAGCCCGGGACTAGCTGTGGTCACTTCCTGAGTTGTTTTGGAGCGCATAAGACGATGCTTTTTCCTCAGGAAGCCGGCCATCCCCTTTCCTTTCCACCAGCTCTGAGCTTCCCCCACCACCACTTGGGCCTCTGGGATCATGGGCAGTGGCACTATGACTCCTCTAATTACTCACAGAGGCGTGGATGTGATGCAGTGTTTTTCTGTTATAGACTGGCATGGACTGAATGTCATGCATCAAAGGAATTGACAACAAAACTGGCCTCATTGCATCCACTTGCTGGAGAAAGTCTTACCAGCAGTAGGAACCAAGAAGAAGAAGGTTTGTCATCATGCATAGTTTACTGTGTAAGTTTACTCACCCTCAGGTCATCCAGATGAGATGTTTTGCTGGAGTTGAACATTGATGAAGAATTTGTTTTAGCTAAAACCATGGTACTCATGGTTTTAAGTCAACGACTAATAGCATTTTGGTGGTCATATGCAGGCAAAACAAAATTAATACCAGTGGTTATGATCTTAAAGAGTTAGTTTACCAAATGGCTTCGTTCATTTTTGGAATACAAATTAAGACATTTTAAGTGAAATCCTAGAGCTCTTTACCCTACACAGACAGCAATGGTCACTAGACATTCAAAGTCCAGAAAAGGAATTTAAAACATTGTCAAAATATGAGACTTTAGTAGTTTAACTGTAATCATACGAAGCAAGAACACTTTTATGCACAGAATAAAACTGTAAATATGACTTTGTTTGCCCTTGTCTTCTGTCAGATCAGCGTGCATGTTTACCATGGGTAGGATGATTGCATGTTGCACTGCTGACTCTAATGGCAACACTTACCACGTAGCAAAACATCTCTGGCTCAGCTCTAGCACACACAATCAGCTTTTGCTTGGCCCACATGACGCAGTGAATTACGGTACATGACTTGACCAAGTCTGGCTTTCAGACAAGGCCCAAACATGGACCATAATGGGGCCAAGTATTAAATAAGTTAATAACCCATAACTGAGCCTGAAATGGCCCAGATACAGTATGTTGGTGTGTCATGACTGCAATGAAATTGAACCCATGAATCTTTGTGCTTTAGGCGTGCTTTTTCTCGAAGCGAAAATAATAAAATGTATTTTAAATGTGTGTCAATACAGGCCAAACTTAAATGGCCCACATATCAATTTCTCTGGTCCAGCTCTGACCCACTCAATCAGCTTTTGCTTGGCCTACATGCCGCAGTGAGTTACGGTACATGACTGGACCAAGTCTGGCTTTCAGACAGTGGCCAAACATGAACTGTATCTGTGCCAAGTCTTAGCCAAGTTAATAACTATTAACCCATGAATCATTGAACTTTTCTTGAAGCAAAAATAATAAAACGTATTATAACTGTGGGTCAAGATAGGCCAAACTTTCATGGCCTTCATATCAATTATTACCATATGGGCCACAATGTACACATGCTACAATGTACAACTGGCGCAAGCATTGTGTGCTGCCTTAAAGACGGTGCCACCTCTGTCAAACCAGGGCCATGCTGAACATGCCGTTTACGCCAAATCTGGGCAAGAATTCTTTGCTACCTGGATTCCACCTGCTCTTAGTTAACATGCACCCCTACCTGATGCAGGATAGGCAGTACTGTTGGTGAACACAGTTTTGGGGATTTTTCAATCACGCAAAAGTGATCCTTGGAGCTTTGTTTGATTACAGTTGAACGACTAATGTCAGATATAATGTTTCGACAAAGTTTTTGGCTCCGTTTCTGGACTTTTAGAACTTCTCTGGACCATTGCTGTCTAGGATGAGGCGCTCTCTATATCTGTCATCTAAAATATCTTAATTTGTGTTCCGAAAATGAGTAAAAGTTTCTGGGGATGGGGATAACATGAGAAGGTGTGATTAATAACAGAATTGTTGTTTTTGGGTAAACTAATCCTTTAATTTGATTGCAGCATTGATGGAAAATTACAACCAAAAGCCACATAATATTGTATTATATCAGTTGTTGTTGTTGTTGTTGTTGTTGTAAAAATAGCAATGAGCAGCAATAAACTTAATTCTTTCATCAATTTTCTACTATTTATTTTAGTCTTAAAGTGATTGTTCAGCCATAACTGAAAATTTTGTCATCATTTACTAACCCTTAACTTGTTCCAAACCTGCTTTCGTTCTTTTGGTAAAACACAGAGGAAAATATTTTAAAGAAAGCTGAAAATGTGTATGTATTGACTTCCATATTTGTTTTTTCTACTATTACATGTTATCAGCTTCTTCAAAATATCTTCTTCTGCTATATGTTTTTTTTTTTCCTTTTTGGGTTAACTATACCTTTAAGTCAGAGATGACCAAAATAGGGCCTGCGGGCCAAAGTTTGCTTATGGTAACCTATGATTTTCTAATTTAACCTTTTGTTTATTTGTTTGTTTAAATGTTGAGCCAAAAAAAAAACAAAACAAAAAAAATCTAAAACGAGATTTTTAAATATGTAAATGCTGTCGCTTGAAGATAGAGGTTAATACACAAGGCAGTGCAGCTTGACTTATGTGGCATTGAACATCGTGGTGTTAAAGTGTTTGTATGTTTTTATTATAAGTTCATTATAAAATGTAAAAAACAATATTAATACGAATAAAGTAATTTTTCTATTTATTGTTGAATAATAAAACATTAGAAAATTACCAAAGAAGCTTCATGGTGTATACCTTCAGCCCACCATTCTCAATCAAGTTTGGTTTTTGGCCCTTCATTAGCCAAAGTTTAAGCATCCCTTCCTGAAAGGATTTTTAAAAAAGTTTAGAATGGACCAACAGTTGACTCCTTACAAATGTAGCTTGGGGCCCAGAAGTTTATGGACTGCTTACACGGGTCAGTTGGTTTATTTCATAGACCCGAGGGTAAGTAAATTAACTACAAATTCTGGACTGAACTAGTCTATGTAACAGGTGCTACATGTTATAAAAACCATGTAAGCTTATCTTGATTTATCCTACACTCGCAATTATTCGTGTTTATGGCTTTTGGTCAGCGCTGGTGTTTGGCGTGAGGGAAGTGAGTTCTCTGTCCTGAGTCTTCTGTCTTTTGTCTCGGCCTTGTTTGTTGATGCTAGTCCTCCTCTCAGGCCTACAACACATCTGAAGGTGTTTTCCCAACTGTGGGTTGAAATAAGCAGGGCAGATATGTCAGGGTTGCTGTGCCCGGGTCAACGAGTGCACCTGCGCGGCTCGGCGAGGGGTGGTTTGCTTTGTTTTCTTACAGCGAGACTCAGCATTGTATTAGACCCACGGATCCATAGAGGCTTTGATCACCACTGTGGTAATGAGGGCTATTTATGTTGTTCACGTCATGGGAACAGGCATGACATCGCTGTTTGAAATAATTCGACCAACTGATTCTGTTGTGTTTTTGTCATTATTATTATTATTATTATTATTATTATTATTATTATTAATTTTTTTTATTATCAATGGTATAGGTATTGTCATATAGTCTATTAATACACTGTAAAACCCCAAAACTTATAGTAACTCAAACCATTTGAAGAAACTGATTGCAACAAACCATTTAAGTTCAAAAACTAATCCCAATGAGTATTGTGAACTTAATCCATTTGAGTAAACGAAGCAATCTGAGCACAGTAAAACCCAGTAAAGATAGATAACTCAAACCAACTGTGTACTGTAAAACCTGATAAGTTAAGGCAACTCAAACTGTTTGAGGAAACCAATTGCAACAAACCATATGAATTAAAAGCTAATCTATATAAGTACTGTGAACTTAATCCAAAGTTGAAGGAATGAGGTATTTAATTAACTCATTACCTTCAACACTGAGTTCAAAACTCTTTTCAAATGAATAGAATTAACTTTCAGTAAATCTTGAGTTAAATACACTCATTTCATTTGATAAAGTTGACTGTTGGGTTTGACAGTGTATTCATATACATGAGAAATTATTATTAAATATTAATATAATTGTTTTTCTTTTTCCGTTTTGGTATATTCATTTGTCTTTTCTACTAATATGCAGTGTCAATTTATCAATTTTGTACTTTCATTTACAATATATATTAAGTTTGCACAGAGTTTAAACTCAAGAATGGTGTTTTTTTTTTCAACAAACAACTTTGCTGCTTGAGTGGTAGTCTAGTTGTTTTTGAAAGATGAATACTGAAAATATCTTCTAACTATTTCTATCTGTTAGATCAAATTGTTTGTGTATCAGACATTCATGTTATGTAATAACATACACAATAGCTTGTGTAACCAAAATAGCTCAAAATAGATTTATGACATGCATAAATGTGTTGCTGCCCTCTGCTGTTTAAAAAAAAATGACAGCTTAAACTTTGTTACACTCATGCTTACTTTTTTATCCTGAAACAATGCTGATTCCCCATATTTAAATTGATTGATACTTACACATTATTATCCTGCATTATTTTGTAAATGCATTATTAAATGTTATGTGTGTAAAATTGTGACACATGGCACAGTGGTTAGCACTGTTACCTCACAGTAAGGTTGCTGGATTGAGTCCCGGCTGGGCTACTTGGCAATTCTGTGTGGAGTTTGCATGTTCTCCACATGTTGACATGGTTTTCCTTCGGGTGTCCCAGTTTCCCCCACAGTCCAAGACATGCGGTACAGGTGATTGAATAAACTAAATTGGCCGTAGTTTATATGTGTGAATGAGTGTGGATGGATGTTTCCCAGTACTGGGTTGCAGCTGGAAGGGCATTTGCTGTGTAAAACATATGCTGGATAAGTTGGGGGTTCATTCCACTGTGGCGACCCCTGATGAGTAAAGGGACCAGGCCGAAGGAAATGAATAAATGAATGAATGAATGAATGTGTGTAAAATGAATGTAGATGAATGTTAGAAATTTAAACAGCTGCTTACATTGATGTGTTAGTAAACATACATTATCATTACTAACAGAATGAAGTGAAGACATTCAGAAGATGTATTGTTATTATTTTATTTCACAAAGATATAACAGGCTATTTACAGCATTATTACT